AGGTTGTATGACTCCAGTTATGAGCACAATGTCCAGAACAGGCAAATCTTTACAGACAGAAAGTCAATTAGTGCTTTCCAGAGATGGATGGAGGTTTGGGGGGTGATGGATATGGGGTTTCTTTGCAGGGTATGAAATTGTTGTGAAAATAACTACAGAGTGGTCATGTTTGTACAACTCCGTGGATATACTAAAAGTCAGGGAGTTGTATGTTTTTTTTTTTTTTAACAGAATCAAAGCAGCCAAGAGTTTTGTTTTCTTTTGTTTTGTTTTGTTTTGTTTTGTTTTTTTCTGAGACGGAGTTTCGCTCTTGTTACCCAGGCTGGAGTGCAATGGTGCGATCTCGGCTCACCGCAACCTCCGCCTCCTGGGTTCAGGCAATTCTCCTGCCTCAGCCTCCTGAGTAGCTGGGATTACAGGCACGCACCACCATGCCCAGCTAATTTTTTGTATTTTTAGTAGAGACAGGGTTTCACCATGTTGACCAGGATGGTCTCGATCTCTTGACCTCGTGATCCACCCGCCTCGGCCTCCCAAAGTGCTGGGATTACAGGCTTGAGCCACCGCGCCCGGCTGTTTTGTTTTTTTGACATGGAGTTTTGCTCTCGCTGCCCAGGCTGAAGTGCAATGGCGTCATCTCAGCTCACTGAAACCTCTGCCACCCAGGTTCAAGAGATTCTCCTGCCTCAGCCTCTCGAGTAGCTGGGATTACATGCATGTGCCACCACTCCTGGCTAATTTTTTATTTTTAACAGAGACAGGGTTTCTCCATGTTGGCCAGCCTGGTCTCAAACTCCTGACCTCACGTGATCCACCTGCCTCAGCCTCCCAAAGTGCTGGGATTACAGGCATGAACCACTAGGCCCAGCCCTTTTAATTTTATATTTATTTATTTATTTAAATAAAAGGGGTGGGATCTTGCTTTGTTGGCCAGGTTGACTTTGAACTCTTGGCCTCAGGCAGTCCTCTCCCCTCAGCCTCCCAAAGGGCTAGCATTATAGGCATGAGCCCCCATGCCCAGCTGAAAGATATTTCCTTAAACTAAAAGTGGACCCTAAGCTGTGAATATTTGTTGTCTGGGCGACAAAAACATCAGGTTTACATAGACCTTTGCCTCCTTTATCTCTTCTCTTTGCTGCCAATAAGCTACAAGGAGAAGAGCAAGGAATCACTTAGGCTGAGAACAGCCAGCCTCCACCCCGAAGCACTTCTGGTCCAGCGGAGGCATGAGACTTGGATCCAGATACATGCTCACCCTCACAGCAGCGGACGCTAGGATGGAGGTTGCCCCGGGCAGGGTGGGGACACAGAACAGGCACCCAGGGTGGAGGGAGACAGAAGAGACAGAGCGGAGGAGCGGCAGAGCTGTCACGGCAGGCCCACTCACCGGTCATGATTCCCACGTAGCAGTAGCTATAGCTGAGTGTCTCCATCAAGGAGGGCACGTCGGGCAGCAGCCCCAGGGTGGGCCCCTTGCTGAAGCCCGTGGCCATTTCCTTCCTCTGGGCCAGGTGCAGGTCCTGGACTTCACTGGCCAGGCTCACCAGCTGGGTGGAAGGGGGTGGGCAAGGCAGCAGGTCAGACTCTGGGCCCTTCCCCACTCCCATCTCCCTCGATGCCCTCTGCAGCCATGGGGTGCTGGGCACCCACGGCTTTGCATTCCTAGGTTGTGTGTAAGGCCTCTAGCGAGGACTGTTCCCCAGGGCTCAGTCCCAGGCACTCCTTCCCTTTCCCTGTTCCATCCTTACCTGCTCTCACGCAATCACGGAGCTTTAGACAGATACTACACACCCAGCCCCAGACCTATCCAGGTCACGGCTTATTGGCATTGATACTTGGATGTCTCTAGGCACCTCAAGCGCACTGGAAACAGTAGACAACGTTACCCACCCACAAAGCAAATCCTCTTCTAGTCCCCCTCAAACAACGTGCCACCAACTTGTTCAAGCCAAAAACCTCCCTCGCTCCCCAAATCCTATCCCTTAACCTCTTTCTTTTTGAGACAAGTTTTACTCTGTCGCCCAGGCTGGAGTACGATCTTGGCTCACTGCCACCTCTGCCTCCCAGGGGTTCAAGCAATTCTCACGCCTCAGCTGGCCAGGCTGGTCTCAAACTCCTGGCTTCAAGTGATCTGCCCGCCTTGAAATCCCTTAAGTTTTGAGTCTTGCCTCTTTCCGTCTCCACTAATGAGCTGAATACGTCGTACTGTCCACCCTTTCCTGCCAGTCCCAAGATCAACCCTACATCAACAGGGTTCTGTCTTCCAGCTTCTGGCTGGGTCGTCAACAGAAAGCCCTGGATGGAGATGCGTGAAGACAGGAGAGGGGCGGCGGGGCTTTTACTCCCCAGTGAGATGGCCTTGGGCTGGCCGTCACCCTTGATAGATCATTTCAAGGTGGGTGGCTCTACACACTCGTAAAAACAATAATTTTAGGGCCAGGTGTGGTGGCTCATGCTTGTAATCCCGGCATTTTGGGAGGCCAAGGCAGGTAGATCACTTGATGTCAGGGGTTTGAGACCAGCCTGGGCAACATGGTGAAACCTCATCTCTACTAAAAATATAAAAATTAGCCGGGCATGGTGGAGGGCACCTGTAATCTCAACTACTCGGGAGGCTGAGGCGGGAGAATTGCTGGAACCCGGGAGGCAGAGGTTGCAGTGAGCAGAGATTGCACCACTGCACTCCAGCCTGGGTGACAGAGCAAGACTCCATCTCAGAAAAAAATAAATAATAATAATAGTAATTTTTTTTATAGAGACAGGGTCTCACTATATTGCCCAGGCTGGTCTAAAACTCCTGGCCTCCAGCAATCCTCCCACCACAGCCTCCCAAAGCACTGGGATTAGATTATGAGGCGCTGCACCAAGCCTACACAACCCATTTTCCATCCAGGTACCACAACCTGCCCCACTTCCCCTGGGCCTAGGGTTGGGAAGGGCTCCTGCTGCAGGTCCGGGGCTCAGGCACTGTCCCTTCTTGCTCCTCTACATCCTGCCCACACTGTGGCCACTCCTCTGACCATCCTAAATGCCGGGTTTCCTGCTACAGCTCTGACTGACCTACCCACAGCCAACAGTTTGTGACCTGGACTCAGATAAAGGGACCCTCCTTTATCTGAGTCCATCCCATCTTGCCCTGATCCACTTCAATTCTCCTCCAGCACCCAGAATAGTGTTTTTCTTTTCTTTCTTTCCTTTTTTTTTTGAGATGGCATCTCAGCTGGGGAAGCCCAGGCTGGAGTGCAGTGGGACAATCTTGGCTCACTGCAACCTCTGCCTCCTGGGTTCAAGCAATTCTCCTGCCTCAGCCTTCCCAGTAGCTGGGATTACAGGTGTGTGCCACCACACCTGGCTCATTTTTATACTTTTAGTAGAAACAGGGTTTCACCATGTTGGCCAGGCTGGTCCCAAACTCCTGACCTCAGGCGATCCACCTGCCTCAGCCTCCCAAAGTACTGGGATTACAGGTGTGAGACACTGCACCCGGCCCAGAATGAGTATTTTTAAACATCTAAAACTGGTCACATCGCATCTTCTGGCAGCAAACCAAAAATCCCCTCTCCCAGCAGCACTCAGTCCTCCATGGGAAGAAGTCCAAAGTCCTCACAGTTGCTGGCCAGGCCTAGCATGGTCTCAGCCCTGCTGCCGGTTCCCTTCTGCTCTTCCTAGAAAGCTGATGTGGCTGGTGCAGCCTGTGGAACCCAGCCTGCTCCCCTCCACACGTGGTCCCTATGGCCTGAAAGGCTCCTCCTCTAACCCCTCTCGCCCAGCCCACTCCTGCCACTGCTAAGCTCTTGCGGGGAACACTGAATGCTGGGAAGGCCACTGACTACCTAGCATGACCGCTGTGTTCACTGATAAGCCGCCAGGAGGAAACCATGACTCTGTGGGGCTCGGTGGACCCTGGGAGTCTATATTCACCCGTTTTCCCAGGTGAGTAGGAGCCAGACCTGGGTGTCCTAGTTTTGCGCCCTTCACCAAGTACCTTCTCCCCAGAGCTGGTTTTTCTCCTTTGCAACACAGCTGGCTGCAGAGATTCCAGGAGAGCATGTTGGTAAACCACCCAGGTGGGCCTCTGGCACACTGCAAGCACTCAATGGCACTGACTGTTACCCTCCATGGGCTATTTCTTCACCCCAGGAGGGGCTGAGAGGTGAAGACCTGCCCAGGGGCATGTGAATGGGGAACCCTACCCCAAGGCAGCAGGGGCGGTGATGTCCCACCCCCAGGGTTTGTGGGAGGTAAAATCCCAAGGAGCAGCTGGAGGGGAGTAGTGAGCCCCGAGTCTGACCTTCAGCGTCAGCAGCAGCTGGACCGCATTGGTGAAGGGCGTGGGAGTAGGCAGGCCAAGCAGGCTGAGGGCTCGGAAGAACAGGAGATAGGAGAAAGTCCAGGCCAGAGCCAGGGCGTGGCAGGAGCTGGGCAAAGGCAGGAGGCGCATTGTGTTGTGTTGGTCTCAGCCTTGGCCTCCCTCTCCCCCAGTCCAGCCACCAATCCTCCCCCAGCTCTCCCCATTTGTTCAGAGACAGAAACACAGAAGGGCAGAGAGAGGACTGGAGGGAAGACGTGGGGATGGAACGAGTATGATTGAAACGGGAGAAGAGGCTCAGCCACACAGAAACACACAGCAATAGAGAAGAATGAGGTTCAGGGGAGCTTTGGGTGAAGACCCTGCAATCCTTCACTTTTTCTTTATTTCCAAGGTCCGGGGCTCAAGAAGAGGGGGGTGGATATGAATATGAATGGTGGCGGGGCCAGCAGACACACTGTCCTTCTCTCTCCATGACACAGATGTAGCAGACTGGGACAAACACAGAAGAAGGCAGGGGAGGAAGAGAAACAGATGAAGGCCAGGCGCGGTGGCACACGCCTGTAATTCCGGCACTTTGGGAAGTGAAGGCAGGCGGATCACCTGAGGTCAGGGGTTC